GCATGCTTCAATCTGTTGCTGTTCCTCTTCTTGGGAATGTTTGTCATGTGTTTATGAATGGTCTCAACCGTGTTCAGGTAATGAAAATTTCATAGTGTATTGTAAATGGTTTTGATAATTTCTCTTGGCTTCTGGTGGTCTTATGAAGATTAATCTGGGTTTCTTGCTGTAATAGGTATATGGTCTTGAAAAGTTGCACGATGCGTTGCTTAATAGACCCAAGAACAAGTCTCTCATAACGGTATGGATAAGCCTTTCTCTGACTTCATTTTATTTATTTGTATTTCTCTGCTTGCAACTTTTTATTATAAGAATTGTAAAGGTGCATTCCTCTTGTTGACGATTTTTGGCCATCTTCAGGTCAGCAATCATGTTGCTTCTATGGATGACCCGCTAGTTATTGCTTCATTACTTCCACCGAGAGTACTTTTGGACGCTCAGAATTTGAGATGGACTCTTTGTGCATCAGACCGATGTTTCCGCAATCCTGTCACTTCTGCATTCTTTCGATCTGTCAAAGTATTGCCAGTTTCTCGTGGTGATGGAATTTATCAAAAGGTACTCAATTTCAGACCCTAGATTCCTTATTGTTTGTCTGTGATGCTTCTTTAACTTTTAAGAAGTCTTTAATGCTGTTATTTTCAAAAAAAAAAAAAAGTCTTTAATGCTGCTTATACATCAGTTTCAGTGAAATTTGAATTTTTGCTCATCTTCCTTGTGGTAATTTTATAATTTAATATATGGCTTCAACTTCCTGCAGGGAATGGATATGGCCATCTCAAAATTGAATTGTGGTGGATGGGTTCACATATTTCCAGAAGGAAGTCGCTCTCGGGATGGTGGAAAAACCATGGGCTCTGCTAAGAGGGGTGTTGGGAGGTAAGAATTTGTTAAGAGAATTTTTTGTTCATTGTTCTCTTTTTTGGTTATTTGCGACTTATGGCCGTTCTGGTACATGGATGTTCCTTTATTGTGCTTTTGTTGGAAGTAGAAATCGATAGACATTATTTGCTCCAAGGACATCTTTTTTGCCTTCTATTTTTTTTTCTTGGGTGGCAAAGTATTATATTAACTATTTTACTGAACTTTCATGACAGATTGGTCCTGGACGCGGACAATATTCCTATCGTGCTTCCTTTTGTGCATACTGGAATGCAGGATATTATGCCTATTGGGGCCAACTTTCCTAGGATTGGCAAGACGGTATGCAGCCTAAAGTCTTGCTTCTACTGAACTCTTTTTTTCAATTGCTGACCTGGTTTTCCTGTTAAAACATAGTTTACTATTAAAGATGCAACTAGTTTCCATGGCTGCATGACCCACCTAACAGAAAGCTCCTACGTTTAACATCAACCAACTATTTCTGATGGGTTTCTATTGTTTCTAACTCTTAGTTTTTGATTGATTTTTTCCGTTCTTGGCCATCTGCATCTCTGACTAAGTGAGATGAATAATTCATTCTAAAATTATGCAGGTGACCGTAGTAATTGGTGACCCTATCCATTTTGATGATATGGTGAATGCTGAAGAAGCTGAACATGTGCCAAGAGGGAAACTTTATGACGCAGTTGCTTCCAGAATCAGTCATCGGCTTCATGCACTCAAAGCTCAAGTTGATAAATTAGCCATTGAACAATCAATTGAAGCGCAAAACCATGTATGGAGTGTTAAACGGGCAGCTGATATGGTGCATCAGGTTGACTGGGATTCATTTGGCATGGGAAGCCGTGATCATATTGGAGATAATTCTTCCGAAGAAGTCCAAATCCAATCCTTTCCAAGTATCAGCTGTTCAGAACAAGAAACCGACACTTCAGATTGGCATCTCAGAGTGGGATTTTCTAG